ATTCAAACTACTATTCACTCACCGGAATTACGATGGCTAAAACGAGGATACCGATTGCCCACGTCACCTGAAATGCAAAGTTAAATTATTTACTAGTGGGAATATCAATTATTCATCTATCTGTTTCCTTCAATCCACCACTCAATCACATGTGACATCAAGTTAATTTTTGTGACACTTAATTCAATCAATCTCGTACGCGTTGTATTACTGAGAGAGATGAGAACAAAATTGAAAATGTGAGTGTTCACAAATGAAAAATCTGAATGAAAATGAGACTGAGCTCAGTGCTATATGGTAACCGATGTGAACGCGAGAGTCAACGAAACTGATTTCATATTTGAGTTATTTTAAACCTTGTTTCCACAGAATTATTTAATGAATCTGTCTTTGATGACTCTTTAATTCCAACATTGATGGGATAAATACATGAACTATCAATGTTGAATATGGTGTTTTCTTTGAAGACTGCTAGCATTTACTTCATAATAATTAATAATAATCAACGGTGAATTACGATCTGAACCCCAGTACTCTCAATAATTCATCACATCAATATAAATTTACCAGAATTCAAATAAATATGTAGTTTCTAGGTGAAGCACTTTAATTTTAACCCTGATGGCTGAAACTCATTCGTTCATTGACATTAACCAGTGAATAAAATGTTGAAAATTTGACTTCCATATTAACTTTGACAATCGTTCATACACGTTGAATTTAGTAATCAAATTATGAATATTATTCTGTTACTCTATTGCAAAGAAGCGTGTTTCCCACGTATAAATTTACCAGTGAATAAACAAAATTGAAATAAATGCTCCTATCTACTATCTTGAATTCAACACTCTCATTTTCACATGTATACTGATTAAACACTACAATTAAATATTATCTAAACATAACAGATACACAAGAAATGCTGGGCACTGTATCATATGCAAATGAATGGCAATCAACTTCAGTAATTGATCAAACCAAATAAGATGGGATCTCAACATTGGTGGAAGAGTAATGAAATTTATCGTAGCTACGCTGATGATTACATAGTGGATCCTGTGCAAGAAAGAACGTATTTACTTCCGGTGTGCGTTCACTACTGATAGAACAATACTAGTGGATATATAACACTGATTAATAATATCCCATAAAATCAACAATTGTCATACAATCTACTAAAACATAAACTAATTGAAACTAACCACAGGAAATCTTAAACTCCATAAGATCACCAGTATTGTAATTATAATAAGTATAAAAACAATATATACCAAAAACAACCAAAAGTATCTGACCAAATCACGTTTAATGTTTATTCCAATCATGAACAATAACACTGATAGAATGATGGCCAAAATCCAACTGATAAATATGAACATTCCTTCCACGTTGATTGAAAGACAGGTTATAACACCAGCGAAGCTGAAGCTCTTGAAATGAAGGGAAAAAAGAGGATTGTGCAAATAACTTTTATATCAGCGAAACCACCTATTACATTTTGTCTTTATTTGACAGAACATTTGTGCCAAATCACCTTAAAAGGCGAGAAATACCTTTATGTAACAATTAATTAGATGGTAGAACATGCTGAAAATGGTTGGACATTGAGTGTTTGCATACAAATCGTATATAATAACGAAATAACTCGATAAAAGACATCAAATCTGCACTGAATAAACTTCATAGTACATGCAGATAATCGCTGGACATTTCTGTTGGCACATTTTTCCAATCCGTTTCTGCATCATTCAAAACATCTCGAAATATCATCAGAATTATAGATCGACATCCTTATCATGTAACCATAATTCATAATCAGCGACGACTCTATCAGGTAGGTCAGATGTTGGAGTGAAACGATTATAGTTGAAAAAGCATTCATAAATTTTGCTCGTGTGAACAATTTTCTGATAGTCTCTGAACACACATTTCACAATTAAAAACACTATTCTTGACTCATGTATACAGAGAATTTTTCCGTATCCACCTCGTCAGTCTTCGTCTTGAGAGTGAATCAGTGAACAGATAACACATAAATCACATACGATGTTTGATGGATTGGTCATCAAATATAATACATGTTTGTCCATATCTAGCAACATCGATAACTCATTATGCACATTCACAGAATAGTCTCATTTACATAACGACTAACATAATGATGTGACATCCTATTGAGATACATCAGTATTAAATCACGTTTATATTCCTTTTGGCAAACGTTTTACACACATTCGTCCATTGCTAACAAAAGCAACTTACGAGTATTACGTAAAGGAAATCCGTGAGGTAATTCAAATGTGTAAATCTCTGAATGAAGAAAATTGCAATGGTTGCACCAATGGAAATGAAACTGTAATGTAAATTATAAAGTGTCAAAATCAATTCAATAACATAACTAGATGCAATTTGGAAAATTTAGTTGAGAAAGTAATGCAATAAATAACAAGGCGAATCGTATAAATACTGATAAAATGTCACATTCTTGGGGTGTGGCCACCTAATATAACCGTCTGCTTCGATTTGAGCAATTGTGCTGTATCATAGCCCACCGACAAATCAAGTAAATTTTGTGGCATATATGTATTCAGTATCTCTTTGTTCCGATAATTATGTGTTTAAATAAATTGAAATAGCTTACTACCAAATGCACTTTGAATATTTGATGATGAATTCACATTTTTTATATACTTACATTAAAACCGAAGCAACCCAGTTATGTTGAAAAAGATATTCAAAGATTTCATCACTAAAACACGAAAAATCAGGATTATTAGTAAGTAACATACATTGCGAACACTAATGCAGTCATCAACATTGATAGAAACACTTGAAGGATATTGGTTAAAAACACCTACATTCTGAAATGAATATTTTCAACTGGTTTCTACTTTCAATATTAATCGAGTGCGTACTGGATCAACCATTCCAGATAACGTGGAATCGTTACAGATTACCACTTGATTATTATATTTGATTCCATCATTGTATGTATGTGATCCTGATAAGAGAGGATAAGATATAGGATTACTACTAAGCAATTGATTATATAAAGCAATCTGACTTGACTGTCTCTATTATGATTAGTGAATATTGTGAACAAAGGTGGTAATGAAACATTCATCATGTTTGACCAAAGCAAAGACAATTTACATGGTAGAGATAAAATGAATGTACTATAGTTCGGTGTTTCTCAACAGTTGCTTCCAATATCAGCACCATAATATTAATCATTAAAACTCGGTCTACATATTTTATATTGGAAGAGTTCTCCTCAATGGGAATTAATGGAAAGATTGAGAAGTATGAGAGAACGATACATTCGATATATTTGTACATGAAATCAATCGAAAATTTATTATTTGAATATCTGAACATTCTAGGAGTTTATTCAACAGACTCATTTCTAAATAGAAGGTGATTAAGTTGATTTCGATGAGTTATTATACCATATTATGTTTAAGTTTTAATCAGCTGATGAGAAACCGCAACATGAAATCAGTTCATGTTATATCTGCTGTTTTAATTGTTCTTGGTTTAGTCAAATTCACCAATGTGAAAAGCACGTAATCCTCTCAGAATACACGAATAATTGAACTCATGAACTAACATCAGGTCATATGCTTAAATGATGTTAATGAAATGAATTTTCCCCCAGATACAAGACTAACTATCTTACACCACATTGGTTAGTTCATAAAATGAAGTCCTCTTGTGTGTGAAGCATGTACATCACAACATCAAATCAGGTCACCAGAATATATTAATGTGTAGTAACATGGTTACAAATGAGTTATTTCAAGTCTTTCATCTAATCATCAATACATTCAATGAGTAAATATTCCACGAATGTGGAATCCATCATTGTTTCTTCTCTATGTTCACTAGTTTCACAAATTATATCCCAAATCAAAATTCAACTGACAACAATAGTGATATTCAAATGCCTTGTATCAGTAATGTTGTTTCACCTTCCTAAATATAAGTGTTCTTTCTCTGTTCATTCATGTCATTCATCATACAAATTAAATTGTCGAATTGTGATTACATCATTCAATTAGTTTACTTTGATCCCTCCCAACAATGTTAATCAAAAATCTATTAACGTAAATACAAACCTTCATTTGGATGTTTGTACAACATCAGTTGTGTTCACAAGCAGTGCACGTTAAAGCTGATCAACCCAACTGACGTTATTTTATAATCTCGATGCAAATGAAAACGATCAGTGACCATTAAATACAGTATGAAGAACAATACGACTTTTGATCTGATCAAAGTTCAAATTAGGTAGTGCATACTAGCCTGATCCACTTAACAATTATATAGTTCAATAAATGAGACGGTGATTATCGATATGAGAGAACATCCAATTAACATTCTACTCGATATAAATTGCTTATGTGTTAAATATTGTCCGGATGATACCAGCAATACTTTCATGTTTTCAACCATAGTCCGATGAAGTTACATATGAACTTAGTCAACAATTATCACGATATCAAGAATACTACACAATATTTATGCCAGTTGACTTGTAGTTTAATAATTCAAAGTCAATTTTCTAGATTGGAAGATGATACAAATATTCACCAGCTGGTACAACGGAAGCTGCGTTTACCAGACCTTGACGCATAATTGTTTGAACCTACCCGTACTTCGTTATAATGAATCTGATTGATCAGTCCTCAATGGCATACTTGTACCCTGAACTGATTGTCCGAATAGTGAAATTAGATCACAAGATAATTTTAGTATAGTTGTTTGGTGTCTGCCAGTGGAATCTAAGAAACCAGTTCCGTCCTATATGTGACTCATCAGACAGGTGTAGACAGTAACACAACGTCTTACCCACTGAAACGACAACAAACGATTTATCAACCCATATTCTGCACTGCTTTTATTGATCTGAAATTCGTGAAGATGACACTGAATTAATGAGTTAATTATTTATGAACAAAATGTTCAAGAGTTTGTTTTGTTTGTTTCATAACAAGACGTATTCAACAATTATCACGATAACGAGAATACTACACAGTATTTATGCCACTTGACCTGTAGTTTAAGAATTCAAAGTCAATTTTCTAGATAGAATGATGGTCGACTTTACTATTGATCGCATCAAAATTATTGATTATTTATGGTTGTGAAGCATTTCAAGCTAACACATGTGGTGAGACTATAATTCATAGATGAACCAATGAGATTGAGGATAAGACGTGTTGTATTTTGATGCGAAGTTCATTCATCCACTTGGCAAAATGGAGTTCTTGCATTTTGGTGATGTCTGTTGATGATGAAAATTCTCAATCTAATTCCTAATTTGAACCATCAACTGTAAATCGAAATTCTAATTCCTCACACTGGTTTATAACAATTGATTGATCACTGGGTAGTGATCAATTCCATGTATATCAGGTCGTTCATAATGCAGATCGAATCCTGTCGAACAAGTTGGAATGAGGTCACTATTCTGGGTGAGTCATGGTCACGGTTAGTCTATGCCCATGTAGCTAAATATGAAGCTGGGTGACACGGGATGGAATCCGTCAGGGAACATCAGTTTTCTCAAGATTACATTTACTCTTTGCTGACGAGTGTCAATTAGAACGATACCTAGGTGCAGGATTTCCTGTTGACTTCATCCAACCACCATTTTAACTAGTTTATAACTGACATCTCGCACTTGTCAGTAGGTGAACATTTGCAAAATCACTTCAGCGTCACTCAAATGTCAGCCCACCCTAACCTCACTTTAATTATCTAGTTGTATTAGCTAAAATGTTATTATTTATAAAGTTTATTATGTATACACTTGAAGGAATTCCTCTCTTAATGCATTCAAATTCAGCTAATCAATTATCGGTTACATTCTTCTCATAGTTCTTTAATGTGATGTCGTAATTTATACTTCATATCTATTTCAACCATTACAATTCGTAAAGATTTGATATGAATTAGTGTTAACTAAATCCTGTATAAGAGTTAGAGAAATGTCGCATTGGCCACCACTGAGTGTTTGGTTAACTACAATCGACAAAGTTGAGCATAACAACAGTGGTAATAATATTGTAAATTGTTTATTTAATACTTATAATGAATTATTGGAAAATTCTATCAATTCTAGTTTTCCAATCAATGAAGTTGGATTTTGAACTGGCAATCAACAATTTCAATTTCTACTTAGAAAAGTTGGATAGAATACAAATATATAAGCGGGTTCATTCACAGTTACATAAGTAGATGTTATCGAATACATTGAATTGTTAATTAATGTTTGGCAAGATATTTAATAACTAATGAGCAACTATGTTGTTTATTCTCATACTCATCGACACGACATATATTGATTTGTTGTAAAGAAATTGATATGCAAACATAAAATTTGATACATTTTGATCTTAGATAACGACGAAAACTGTGTGTAGTGATGGACAGTTGTTTAGTTCTAGTATGATGTCTTTCCATTGTCTAAATCTATTACCTCATATGGATGAGCACTGTTTAGAAGTCCTATCATAGAATGAAACGACTATCTATTACGTTGTTTGTTTGTTTTTTCATTGTCTAACTAAAACTATTTTATGATGTAAACTGCGAAATATTTTATTGTCTATCATAACATTTCACTGATTGAAATCATGAGTCAGTTGAAGCTAGACAACCATGGAAAACGTGGAAACACTGGACGGCCGTTCCGTCCTAGTATGGGAATCCACAGCAGTGCGCATCCACAATCCTGCACCCCGCAAGATTCGAACCTAGGACCTATCAGTCTCGCGCCAATTGCTTAATCAACTAAACCACTGAGCCGGCATCCAACATAACATTATTAATTTTTATTGTGTTATTTATTCTCCTTAGATTTTGATCAAAACTCTAATTGTTTGTATTTGTCTATTACTCAAACTAATTAGCCTCCTAATCTAGTAATACAAATTTATTTATAAAGAAAAACAAAAATACAGTTTTATTTAGTAATCAATTAGTTGTATATTAGTGTTGGATAATTAACACAATCAAGTGTTACCTTAATGAATAGATTTGTATATAACTCTCTCATGATATAATCATACAATTGTCATTTGATTAAATATATAATGTATTACTAACAATATATAAATATAGACGCTTCCGCTTTTGTTGATTTGGAGACCTATCCACACAACATACAATGTACTCATACATTGATATACATTACAAAATAGTAAAGTTTTATTATCACGCTATATTCACAAAAATTATTACTTAGTAGGTCATTTGATGTGTCATACAGGAATGTTTGTTTTAAAAATAATTCAAGTCACATTGAATTAATCACAACTCATTATTGTGTGTGTGTGTATATGAGTTATATAACTTCATAATGGATATAAAAGTCTAAAAAAATCTTTTCACTTCTTCATTCATTTCATACCTTATCAACAAACATTTTGCATAGTAACCAGAAAAGAATGGAAAAAATGACATTGAAAATTGCCTTTAGTTCTATACAATTAAATGAATTTAATTCATATCGTTATGGTATTATTCTACCATTCAATAAACAAATTATATGTAAACAATTTAATTTAAATCAATGGCCAATAACAAAATTATGGAGAAACATTTTTCGAAATATATTTCATTGCAAATTATTACAACGTTTTCATGAATCTAAATTATTATTATTGAATAATAATAATCATCATCTTATTATACCATATGAAATTGACATAGATTATAATCATTTCACTATATTAACAAATTATTATCCATACGGTAATTTATTTGAATGGTTTCAACAAAGATTCACATTCACTATTGAAGATATATATTATATTATAAAATATTTATGTGAAGCTGTCAATTATTTACATAGTAACCATATTTACCATGGTAACATTAAACCATATAATATATTCTTTAAAGCATTTCATCCTAAATCATTATCCTTAGTATTAGATTTTAGTGTATTAACAGAGATCAATATATTATGTAATCATAATGATACAAAATTATTTATATATTGGTCACCAGAATATATGATACATGTTAAAGTAACCATGGATGATATACATTCAACTGAAAAAGACAATATATGTTATATTATGAAAGAATTATGGAAGAAAAAATCAATGGAATTAGATACATGGTCTATTGGTGTTATTATGTATTTATTATTGACTGGGAAATTACCATTTATTGATCAATATAAAGAATTGAATACATTTATGAATGATATCAAAACAAATTCTATACAATTAAATCATTCATTATTATTATATAATATTGATAAATCAATATATCAAATCATTAATATGTTATTACAAATCGATATACATCAACGTATTGATCTTAATCAATTTATGATAATCAATTGGTTGCATAATATTCATCATGATAATAAACAAAGAGATATAAAATCAATTATAGAATATAATTTTTTAACTACATTTATACAACATCAAATGGAATCAGAGAATACATTGAAACAATTAAAACATTTTATGAAAATTACACATTCAAATGTACAATGATAATCATGATGATGATGATGAGGAGGAGGAGGGGGAGGAGAAAAACGAATTCAAATTTGACCAATTAGAAAATAGGATGAAAAAATTAATACGTTTCCACCTTAGCAACTAAATGTATTTATGAGAAATACCAAAAAACAAACAATAATAGCGAAAAATAATTACGATCAATATAAAAATGTTTCTTTGATATCTAATCATTTGTGCAATCGACTATGAATGAAAAATAAAACAATAAAAATAATGATAACAGGGAAAATTATTACTTTTTTTCAACATGATAATACACTTTCAAGATGTTTTAATCAAAGTGACCATTTTATTTTCAACGTGAAGAGTATTACTTTGAAAATGTTGAGATCAGATTGTTCAGCGGAAATGTTGGATTTACATTAAACTTATTGGCTGAGATTTCTTCTTCATTAAAAGTATTTTAATAGAGAATTGAAAAAGAAAACATAATCTCAGATCTTATTGATTATCTATCAAAAACAATATGAAAACAATGATTCTTATTAATCAGTGATGATTAATTAATGCCAAGGCATTATACTATTAATATATCACATTTACATTCATATAAATACCAAACAGTCTGTTCATTATTATTTCATTTTGAAATAGAATTAAATAAAGTGTTATTTTGATAAACTAATGTTTTTCTGATTTCTTATGAATAACTAACTGAATATGCATATTACGGTTACTTAATTGAGTAGTATTATGATACTAGTTTTACTATTCGTGAAGCTACTTTACAGTCACTCTTCGTTCAGATCTCAAGTGAAGGGAAAGGCTTAGACACGAGGTTAGCAATCTCAACCCATAAAAAGAAATGGTGATCAGAAAAATCATGATCGTAATTTGTGTCATAAATATTTATAGTGATCGCTTGTAGGGTGTAATAGACAGTTGTAGAGAGTGATTAAGTATTTTATCTCAAGTCAAATCCATGTACCTATACAAAGTCACTTATACATCTCTCCTATTGAATAGTTCACAGATTTATTGACCTGTTGACTAGTGATTACTAGATAAGATGTTTGAAGTTCAATATAAAATGATCTATACCAAATATTACTAAACGAGCTTATGTATACTTTAGTCGCATAATACAAACGTGTTATATATAAATGTGATAAAGTTTCATATCTGTCAACATTAATTATTCTCAATTTTAACATTATAGAAGTTCTAAATAAATTAACGTTCAATTCTTACACACGTTTGTACTGACGACGTGATTTTATTATCTCCTCCTGCTCTGTTAACTGCTTCCTAATCCTTACAGATCAATAGAGTTATTTATAATAAAAGAAAGTGATACATTGCAGTACTTAAAGAGATTTGTGATTCTTAATGATGTTCACACTATTTAGAAGAAAAACTTGACCAACGCATGAATATTCTCCTGTTGTTCTTCAATTTAGATCCCGATTTGAATGTCAATTCAGTGATTATAAAAAGACACATATTCCTTTATATAAATTTATAAAGTCTCTAATTGCTATATGTATGATCCTAAATGAAGAATAAAGGAATGAGTAAAACTAATCTATATTACCGACCATTATCAATATTGAAACAACTATGTAGTTCTTATCTCCTTCATTTGCTTTTCAACACAAACACTCATCATATCAAGAAGTAATAGGTGAAAATTTAATGGAACTTAAGTTGTTTTTTTTAATTTTATGTGACTTTCAAGTTTCTTAAGATTTACAATCATTTAATCAACATTCTCATACTGAGTCCCAAGTAGGACGAAACGCGCGTCAAACTGGATTCCACTGCTAGCCACTATCCATCATTGCTTACAAATAGCTTGTGAATTAAGCTAATATCGAGGCATACGCACAGTATGCACATATGTCAATAACAGACTGATCAATTGCAGTCTTAAAAACTCACTGGGAAGATACAAGCCAAACAATACCAAGTGAATTAAGGATCATTTGATGTTCAAGATTTTTGATATAATCATGTATAGTTCATGGTATATAGATATTTATATATAGTGTCGATAAGCATAAGAATAAACAACATAGTGACTCATTAGTTATGAAACGTCTTGCCAAACATTAATTAAAAATTCAATCTACTTGACAACACCTACTTACGTAACTATGAATGAACCTTCTCATATATTTTTATTTTATTCAACTTTGACAGATAAAATTAGAATTTTTCATTGTCATTTGTATGTCCAACTTCATTGATTGGAAAACTAAGATTGAAATCAACTAAACATTTTATCACTACTGTTGTTATACTCAACTTTGATTATTTTAGTTGGTTAACTATTCCATGGTGGTCAATACCACATTTGTCTAGTCATTTTATAGTACTGATTAAATTCTATATATCACGTTACAATTTGGCCAACAGTCTAAACAACTAGACATTTTGTGCACTGTGTTGGTGTGCTAATTAACAGAAGATGATCAGAGAAAATTTTGAACTTAGATTTCACGTCAGTTGGCACGGTGATGTGGTTTCAAATGTCATGGGTAGCATCGGTTGTCGCAATATTCCAAGTACGTCTTGTTAACAAGCACGAACTAACACAAATCCTACATTAAACAGGGCATTTCGTCGACTATATTTAAATGTCCTACGGTTTCACAAATATTATAGAGCAGTTTGCTTACTGATCAACATCTAGATTTCAAACATTCGATCTCAAATTCAAATCACATTTTACCCAGTTCACTTTGAGTAACTGGCTGATCTCACTAAACCTCACTCAAAAGTCATGCAACAGAGCCAAGCACATAAATATTCAATTTGTAAACAAGTTAGAGTAGAAAAATTATCATGATGAATCATTGCTTTGAGAAAAAACTTTGCTTATCTAATTGTATGACAAAAACATTTCAGTTAACATAACTAGAAAATTTAAGTGAAGTTTATGTCGTGAGATTTCATTTATGGACGAACATCGAGCGATGCTGAAGTGACCTTGCCAATGTTCAACTATTGACTAGTGAGAGATGACTTTTATAAACCAGTGTGACGAATTAGAATTTCGATTTACAGTTGATCGTTAAGATTACGAACTGGATTTGGGTTTTCATCACGAACAGACATCACCAAAATGCAAGAACTCCATTTCGCCAAATAAATGAATGAACTTCGCATCAAAATACAACACGTCTTATCCTAAATCTCATTGGTTCATCTATAAATTATAGTCGCACCACATGTGTTAGCTTGAAATGCTTCACAACGATAAATATTCAATAGAGAATCCGATCATCTTTCTATCTAGGAAATTGACTTTGAATTCTTGAAGTATAGGTCAACTGGCATAAATACTGTGTAGTATTACTGTTAGCATTTTAATTATTGATGTTTTCTATACGTAACTTCATCGGACGATGATATTCTTTTGAATCTACTGATAAATAACACGAATAATATATTCAATAACTTGAAGATCATACTGAACTGTTCTGTTTATTCCTCATCAATCAGAATAAGTTGGCTTGCTGTTTTGTCGTTTGTAATTATGGAGAGTTCACTAATGTAATTTATTGATGCATCAAAATCTTCAATCAAGTGTCTTTTTAGCTTCCGTAATTATTGTGTTTTGTTGAATAGATAAATTGGTATAAACCATTTATCTAGTGGATTCAGTGTTTTCATATTTAGCATAAATCTGTAACATTAGATGATACTAATTGAATGGCTGGGTTGTGTGGACTTTCGTTTAGAGGATTTGCATTTACTAACTAACACTTTTTCAGGTATATACCTGGAAGAGAGTTCGTGACAAGAGTATTTGGTAACGTAACATGCCTGATGATATGACGAGACGTTTAGACAGATGGGTAATCTGGTATGCGATGCGTTTTCAGTAAATAGCCATCCAACGACTATGAGACTCATTCATATGAAACCGTTGGTAATTACTTCTAGAACATTCGTTTCAGTCTACCGATCAATAACACAAATAATATATTCAGTAATTTGAAGATCATACTGAACTGGTCTGTTCAGTTAGCACTCATGTGTGGATTTCTGTGTGTATTTCAAGTTGGACATTCGCAACTGAGATGTATAACCAAATCACTCTCAGTACATCAATCGTCATCTCTTTGATAATTAACATCTAACCAATTTATATCGTGTAGAATGTTAATTGAATGTTCTCTCATATCGATAATCACTGTCTCATTTATTGGACTATATAATTGTTAAGTGGATCAGGCTAGTATGCACTACCTAATTTGAACTTTGATCAGATCAAAAGTCGTATTGTTCTTTATACTGTATTTAATGCTCACTGATCGTTTTCACTTACATCAACATTATAAACTAACGTTGATTGAGTTGATCAGCTTTAACATGCACTGCTTGTGAACACAACTGATGTTGCACAAGCATCCGAATGAAGGTTTGTATTTAATTTAATAAATTTCTGATTAACATTGTTGTCAATAATCAAGTTAAACTAATTGAATGATGTAATCATATCTCGATAATTTAATTGGTATGATGAATGACATGACTGAAGAGAGAAAGAACACTTGTATTTGGAAACATGAAACAACATTACTGATACAAGGCATTTGAATATCTCTGTTGTTGTCAGTTGAATTTCGATTTGGGATATAATTTGTGAAACTAGTGAACATACGGAAGAAACAATGATGGATTATATAAAATTCGGTTATTTGACTTGTACATTCGTGGAATATTTATTCATTGAATGTATTGATGATTAGATGAAAGTCTTGAAATAACTCGTTTGTAACTATGTCACTACACATTATTATATTCTAGAGACGGGATTCGGTTATATGATGTACATGTTTCACAGACAAGAGGTTAGTAGACAGGACTTCATTTTACGAACTAATCAATTTGATGTAAGATAGTTAGTCTTGTATCTGGGGCACAATTACTTTATTACCGTCATTTAAACATGAGATCTGATGTCAGTTCATGAAGAAAACCAAATTTTATTCATCAACGCTAACCTATAACATTCATAC